TGGGGTGGGTGGGGATGGAAACTAGGTGGCAGAGAGCATGCCCAGAAAAATTATACGTGGATTTAAGGCTGAAGAATATGGGGGACGGAAAAAAGAGTTCTCAAATATTACATATCAGAAGAATAGCAAGTGTACTATAGCAGCATAGTTTTTAGCATGCTACTGATGTGTGATTCTATTTAATTGGCAACTGCAATTGATAGTGAATCACTTTTCAGTCACTGTTCCATGGCATAGCCCAAAGAATGCTTTAGCCAGTATATTTGCAGATTGCCCTACTTTTATGTACTCCAGCAGGAAGCAGTTTACAAAATACACAGGCTTCAGCGGTTTGTCAGCTGCAAACTGTAAAAATTCTCTGAAGCATTGCAGCCATCCAGAAGTCACCTCCCTTCATTGGCTGCAAATTTATGAAGCACAACTCATCAGGGGCATGAGTCAGATGAGACACCCCATTTGTCCCCAATCTCCCAAAAATTATTCCGTGTAAGTTATTGCATTGCTAGGCAAAAGTTTAGCTCTTATCTAGATGAATATAACTATTTTACAAACAAATATGAAAGGTGTGCAGAAGTTGACAAAAGCTGGGGAAAAGAAGTTGGGAAAGAAGAATTAACATCTTGTACGTTCAATGTCTTGGACACTTTCAACCAGATAATCAGTACTCCACAACCACAATGCTTTTTGCACCTGGAATTACAGATATTTTGACAGAAAAAATCGTTAAAGGGAGATTAGCTAATGGTTGTACAGATATCCTTGGTATGTGTGTGCAAAGGGTAGCAATATAAGAAAGAAATAATTGAATATGTGAAGCTACTATACCACCCCAGACTATGTGGCCTATCAGGGTCAGCACTGTCTGCTCTGATTGGCGGGGTACTAGACAGCAGTCTTTAATCTTGTAATCCACATTAACAGATATGGGGAATACTCCATTGAAATAATGGATCAATACAAGGTAAAGAGAACACTCATAAACAAACACTAGAAGGCTGAAAAAAATCCATCCTTTTACACTCTTTACATTTATCTGGTTATGTGGACAAAGGGAAGTTTAACATGCCGACTAATCTACAAATGGTCTTGCTAGTGTGACATAAATTGCAGTTTGGTGAATCACTGAAGATTCCAGGTACACAAAATTGGAGTTAAACAAGCACATAGAGATGACACAATACTGTCCTCACACATATAGGTACATTAAAAAGGGCTGGAAGGAGTTGCTAAAAGATTTATCTTAAATTTCCTTTTAAAACAAAAAGTTTCAGCAATAGTGTTTATTCCACACCCATTTTATGTGTATTCCTTAGGAATTCCTATAAGAAACCTCTTCCTAACCTAGATGTGGATTGATATCGAGGGCGGCCTCACACATGTTATCTAAGTCTAGAGTTGCCTTCCTGCACAGAATAGATAGTGTGTTGAATGACAAGTGGGATATTGCCATTCCAAGACCACCAGAAAGCTGTGAAAAGTCAGAAGTTGAAGTCATCCCTAAAGAAAGTTCTGTCTTCAGCTTTTCAAAGCCTCCCTGGTTCAGGAAGCTCTCAGATGGTCATATGGCTCCTGGACAGCCATCCTGAATCCAGGTGTTGGGAAACAGTCAACAGTATCAGAAGAGGTGACAGGCCAGAAAGACTGCTGTGTTGCCCACTCCAGAGTTAAATCAATAAATGCTGCATCGTAGTATGGACCATACTACTGACCCTCTCAAGTCATCTGGCTTCTTACCATTTTTGCAGTTTTCTAGCAAATGGTGGGAACAATTGCTGGCATCTTCCCAACTCTTCATGGCTGACATCTTCCCCACCCATTCACTCTCCCAGGCAATCAGCTTTACTGAGTTTCTGATTGAACTGCCAGAGGTGGCTGGTGGCCTGTGTTCAGTTTAGTGGGTTGTAGCCTCTTCTTCACAGCAGCTCAGGATGACATATATGGTTCTTCACTCTGCCATTTTTCCTCACAAAAACGATGTGAGGTAGACTAGGTTGACAGGGGGGGGCGCTAAGGTCACACAGCAAGTTTCATGGCAGAGTGGGGATCTGAATTTGGATTTTTCCTTGCCCATCTGGTACTATAACCACCACACCAAACTAGTCTAGCAATACTCTAGATCATTGAAAAGGATGTATGTTTTGAAACTGGACTTTATTTAGGAAATTCAATAAATGTCCTACATTCTAAATTATTACCTAGTTTTTCGAAAACTTTAGATATACTGTCATTCCTATAGATCTCTTTAAATGAAATTGGGACCATTAAAGCAAAAAAAAAAAAGGAAGGAAGAAAAAGAAAAAAAAAGAATTAAAACCCAGCAGCTAGTGTCTGTATGAAGAAGAACGTGGTATTGTCTGACACGCTGACATACCTCTCCCCCTATTATAAGATCAGCTTTGTGCATTTCATATCTTGCCATCTTTAAAAGCCTATAATTACTGAAACAGACTGAGAAACTACATTATTTAAAATTAACCACTGAATGTAAATCAACAGGGGTAAAAGCATTCTGTACAAGAAAATAGCACTACAGAAAGAAAATGTCTGTACAGTATTTAAATATTGTATATACAGCAAATTATTTTGTTCGTAACTCATAATAAGAAGTTACTTATGGGCAACCATGGCAGGACACACATTCACACACATGTAGGGCAAAAAAAAATTATTTGTCTTTGAAAGACACAGTGGGTAGCATAGAAGAGAATGCTAGCATGCATACTTTATAATTATTCCAGAAGAATAATTATTCAAGAAACAGCAAACCATATGCTGTGACTAGAATTATCCACTCTGATAGTTAATTCAGCAAAGCTTATTCTTATTCTAGCAGAGAACGACATAATGGAATAAATATTAATGAAAGGCTCCCTTTTATTCTTTACTGTAAATTTAAAATATTGTTTGTACAATGCAGTCTTGCCCCCAAAATATTTCTTAAGCATCTGACAGAAAAACTGTACTTTAAAAAATAAAAATAAACAAAGGGACTCTATGGCTTTTCATGTATGCATAGCTAATAGGTGCAGGGTTCAACAAAACAATTAACCTTCTAGGATCTTGAAAGCTTAATGGATTTTAATAGATGACCTGAGAAATCTTTTGTTTCCCAAACACTCTGGAAAAAACTATAGCATTTTGCAGCTGGTAACAGCAGACTCATCTGAGCCTTTTGCTTGGTGTTGGGGCCTGATATCCAGTCCATATTTGCTGGGGGAAGCAACAGAAACAACCCAGTGTGGTGGATTTAAACCACACTACCTGGAGACTGCCATCACCCGCCCCAATGCGGAGAAGTGTATTTCCAGCAAATCACCCCTAATCACAACAGCTGGATTTGCTATGATGTAGTTAAAGTCAGGCTTCTCTAGATGGCAGGACATTCAAGACCAGCCAGTTAGGCAGCCCCATCCTGGCTTCAGTTTAAAGCAGCATTGGTGTGAGGGCTGCTCTTGTACAACTGCTCTACTTCACCTACTCATCAGTTTTTGAAGCTGGCAGCGCTCATGATACCTGTGAACATTTTCAGATCTGTCCCAACTCTTGGAAGAAGTCATTAAACAATACACAGAGGTAGTGTTTGTGCTCCCTCTACTGGCCACATGCAATGCTGCTTGACTTTGGGGAAGAGCAAGTATCCAGTAGCAAAGACCTAACAAAATTTGTGGCAGGGTGTGAGTTTTTGTGAGTCACTTATGAAAGTTCATACCCTACCACAAATACAAAAGCCCATACCCTTACGAAAGCTTATCCCTAGCGCACTTTTTGTGAGTCTTTAAGATGCTGCTAGACTCTTGCTCTTTTCTACTGCTACAGACAGACTAACATGGCTACCCGTCTTGATTTTGGGGGATTATTTGCGGTGATGTCCCACTGACATCCACCTTCTGGTGACTTTTGCAGGCATCAATTATATCTTCTTCCTAATGCAGTTTGTCACAGAGGTGAGGAAGCTGGTGAAGAGGAATCTTGGGAACTGCACACTTCATAAGGAAAACATCCAGCTTATGCAACACTAAATTTACAGTTATATCAATGGAAGACAAGGGACAGTAAATATTGTGAATTAGTGGTACAGCTGAGATTTAATAATCTCTGTATTTTGTTTCATGAAGAATTCTGAGTAACTTTAGAGCGTATATAATTCTTTCATCAGCAGGTATACTAAATTGGTCCAATAACTATTATTACTGTACATTCTGTGGGACCAACAGAGTAATATCTTTCCTCTGTTCTTTACTTTCTCCAACCTGAGGATCTGTCTGCTGCCGCTCTCCATTATCTGTTCCACAAACAGGATAGCCAGTGCTAGGTAAAAAGCAAAAGAAAGATATAACGTGGATAATCTACCAATTTGCAAGAAAGGGTTGCAAGAACCCCGTTCCTGACTTTTCTATTTAATGGATAAAAAAAGAAGATTAAGATACCAGTATGTTTTCCGCTTGGATTTTTTTTCTTAAGCAGAAACAACAATAAATAAATAAAACCAAGCCAAAACATTGTATGTCCCCAGCAAAAGCATTAAGCATATACAGAAAGCCAATCTGTATACCTCAATTATAAATGCTGTTTTAGAATCTGGCATTCATATTTAAATATGTAAATAGCAGGAGTGATCAATGCTAAGCATCTATAAACATCTAGAGGTGTTAATAGTATTCTACAGCATATCAGAATTTTGGAGGAACAGGCCACAGAATATTGCTGTGATTCTGCAAAGATGACATTCTACTGTCACAAGTGGCCTCACTGATATCAATGAGATCACTTGCAAATAGCAAAATGAAAGGCCCACATATATGTTTACTGTATCAGGTCCTTAAGGACCAGGAATGTACCTTCATCTGTGATATTCGTGGCCAAAAACAGAGATCACGTGAATGCGTCAAATAAAACAAATTTGTTTTCCCAATGAAAAGGGCATTTATATTTCAGTGACTAATCCTTATTATGTAGCTAGCTACTTCAGATTATTCAGTTTAAGTGTTTAGCACCTGATAACTGTGTATTCAGACTCCTTAAAAGATCATTTTAAGGACAACAAGAACAAAAAGCCTGGCATGTTCCTTTTTAACGGCTATCCTAATCAGTCTAGCTAAAATTCAAGTCTGTTTGGTGACACATGAAAAATGACAGAATTGGACACTGAAATAATAGGCAGTGGGCAGGGAAGGAATATTAGTAGTTTAGGAAATCAATACCAGCTTTGACACTTTTAGAAGTGGCAACATCAATTGCCATGGCTTTAATCTCCGTGTCCCCAAACTGCATAAGCGTTTTGATCTCCCTCCGGCTTGGCACTGATATATCCGTTCCAGTGAGATCCAAACGGAGGGTACCACACTTTTTCACTCCTGGCTCAGTTATGAATCTGACGTTATCATGTTCTGAGCTGTAGATATTGATCACAATGACCAGCTGCGAAGGTTTGGCAGGAGTGTAACTGCGTGACACAGTCTCACCAAGAGCTACCGATTGGTCAGCAGAGATGAATTTGTCAAAGACGTCGGTGCACCAGCGCGTGCCATCTTTAACCAGCAGCTTCTCTGTAGGGTGCTTCCCTTCCACATACCGATTCAAGACCCCTACGCCATAGGTTAGGGGAGACCGGCGCACTTTGATGACAGCAGGATCCAGACCAAACAAGACTGCTCCCTTGAGGATTGTAAGCCCTACATCCTGGGGAATGATGATTCGACATTTTGAGCCAAAAGCATCCTGGACAGCTTGTTGTAGTAGTGGAGCTTCAGCAAATCCACCCACCAGGAACAGGAATTTCACTTTAGTAACTTCTGGTTTTTCAAACAGATCACCTTAGCAGAGAAAGAAATCTGTTCAGTTACGGAATTCACAAGGTCAACAAACATTACCCATATTAGCTTCGACCACTAAGGACAACAACATTGAATGTAAACACAGAAAAGAACCAAAATGGGACAAATGACTCTTGAGTGTCCAAAGCTGAGCATTTCAATATTCCTTTCCACTTATTTAATTCACAATGAAAAAATTACAGCAAGGGAAGAAAAAGGCTATGTTTAATCCGTTTAACTGATGGATTAATCCTCAAACCCTTTGATTAATTGGTAGGGGCCAATTTTCTTTGCTGGGGCTTTTAGTTTGGACACAGTTGACTTTTTAAAGGTTATCTTGGTTAAGATATATTACTATAATAAAACATGAAAAAATAATAACGATAGTAATTCTACCATTAGCTTTCCTTTGTGAATTATTTCATACTTTCTTCAAAATCCTCAAGAAGACATCAGTACTGAGGTTTATGTAATTTGTAATTTTGTCAGTTTAATTAATTAAAAGGCAAATGATTAATTTAATTTAAAAAACCCTTTAATCAGTCAACAGCCCTAGAGGAAAGTCTAGTGTTGCTCTGAACAGAAATCATGCCAATAAAGGGCCATGCAGCACTTTTCTATCAGCCTTGATAAGAGACAGATAGAATCTTGATTGTACAAGTTACTTTGCCAGTTCCAATGATATGTTGGGGCTCTTTTTTTGCTCATGGAAGTCACCTTCTCAGTACCTCATGTATCTCATGTATCTCAGTCACAGCAATTTCCATGGTTCTGAAGACTTCAAGTCATAGTTTGGAGATCATGCTGGTTACTGTGGCTGAGTTAACATAATTTTTTTTTAATTTATCCAAGTAGGTAACTGCTGTGAGAGGGAAAAAAACTTCCAAAATATGTTAACTAGATATTTGTATTAGACTGAAATATTGACTCTGAGTAGAGCAGAGGCATTCCAGCTAAGTAAAGATCATATTATTCAATTAGTGCTAATGAATACTACCATGAATATATAACGTTGGTTTGGACAAGAAGTTATAATGTACAACTGAGTGGATACAATTGTTTATTTAGTATGATAATTGTTACATCTTAGGCTTTCATTTCCATCATGTCAGAATTAGGAAAACAGGATTTGAAGGTTAAGAACCAAATCCTAACCATTTTTATTTATAAAAGGATGGATTGATTTCTATTATATAGATACCTTCAAGTAGGGCGTTTTTAATACTGCAGCATAAATCTCTATGACCAGGGTATGTGGTATGGAGGTATAATAAAATCAAAGTGAAATCTAGTCAAAACTGAACATCAAAGTCTCTTGATTTAAATAGGATAAATATCAACTACAGGCAATTCTCAATTGGTGAAAGTACTGAGCATTCTCTCTTAGACATCACTTAACCCGCTCCCAAAAGGAACTAGTTTCCCAGGGGCAGGAAATAATTATGAAAAAAGTTAAACTTGTATTGGGCCTGAACAGGAAACACACAGGCCAGAGTGGGAGAGCAAGAGTGAAGAAGCCAGTCTAAGGCTGCCCCTTTTAGCAGCCTGTTTTATTCTAAGCACATTCCTAACTCTGAAATCAATGTGACCTATACCCTCAGTTTCTATATTATGACTAGTCTGCATATTCCATGTGGGGATCTGGGACTGAAGTAAGTAAAGAACTCCAGCAGGATTAAGGATGGGTGACATTCCTTTCTTTTACAGTAAGGTAAGTGGCACTTTAGAAAATAGCAACATTATAATTTCTGTTAGGAAAATTTCAGTGGCTCCAGACGATAAAGCAGGGATAATGTGGTATGGGCTTGAGCACTGGGGCTCTATGTAGGAAAAAGATATAATTTCAGGATAATGATCCTGGGGTAACCATCCTAAGGTACCAGGTGCTAAATCTTGAATACTGGATTTTTATTTAATTAAAAAGCCCTTAGGAATGCTGCACACTCATGACACTTACTGAGGTGCTTTATGATTTCGTCAATGGTGGGTTTGAAGAGGGCATTCATTGCATCTGGACTCATCCTCAGCATTCCTTGTGATGACCATTTCACAAAATCCACACTGCAACAAGACAGGAAAAAAAGATAAGTTGGCATTTAAATCAATGCTGTCTGGTTTTAAGGATAAACCGTTTTCTTTGATCTGTGCTAGATGCTACCAACAGACACAACTCGATACAGAAGTCACACAGCTTTCCTTGGAAAGAGTAAAGGTAAGTTTTTAAGCTAGTCAATATTCTGACAAAGTCCAAAACATGTTGGGACCCTAATGATATTCATCAATAAAACCTTTCTCTTGTACTTCCTAGAATGCACCTATACTGTACTTAGATTTGACATGCTACTTTTTTTCTTCATGACTGATATTGTTAGAACAATCATGCAGTTCTATGGTGCTAATGACACAACACTGTCATAACAGCAGGTGTCAGGCTGTTACAGGAAGGAACTGCATGTTACATATATTTCTGAGATTCTTGTTTTGAACTATTTCCCCTTCACAATGCAGCCACTGAAACTGCAATTTGAAATGGAGACCACATTGTGGGAGGAGAGGAGATTCTTAGCCCTTTCTTCCTTGCACCTTTTTGTTGAAAAGCATCCCAAACACAGCTGCTTTTACCCCATGCTCAGGAAAAATAAGGGTAACCATAGTTCTTCTTTTATGAAAGTAAAAGCATTCTGTGTGTGAGACAGAGGGAGAGTCTGGGAAAAAAAGAGAAGAATTACACATAATATTTAGTCCCATCCATAGGTATTCAAGGCACATAAACAGACTTGAAAGCTCTAAGGGGACTAATAAAACTGATACAAATATGAATGACAAGTAATTCATTAATTGAGAGTAGGGAAGAAGTGCCTCTAAGAATGACACAGGATTTTACCACAACTTCCATTTGTAGAAGCTGATTACCCCTGAATAATTTGCTTGATTTTTTTTTGTCCGTTCCAGTTGATCTAAAGGGCTAACTTAATTTGCTAATCTTAATTTTCTTATCTACCATGAAGTTATAGCTATGGCTTAACTAATGGACCAGGTTGTTGTGGAGCTGGAAAGAGGGAGGCACAGATTTTAGTGTCACATCCTCATTGTGTGACCTGGAGGTCATTTATATTATCCAAGGCCATGAACAACAGTATGTAAAGTCAGGATAAGCAGAAACCTGCCCCTCTGGATTCTTTTAACCTCCTACTTACTTGCTTTTCCTTAAGGCGTGCTCCACACTATGACCTCGAAATTTCTTGTAGTAATCAATGAATGAGAAAGGCAGAGTAATGTTGAGTGGGTTAGTCCGGTCCGGAGCTGCTGCCCTCTTGCGAGATTCAAACGCTATCATCAGATCCACCCAGGCTGCAGGACGTTTGATTTTAAACTGCTCAATGAAATCTTCTCCAAATATTTTACACAGGAGTTTTTCAAATTCATAATCCACGCCTAAGGAACCATGTGGCCCTCCTGCATCAGAAAAAGAATCTTTAGTGGACTGCATGTACCACCAAAGTGTAGCAATTATGCAGCATTGCAATAAGCATCATAGAACTAGGGTAGATCCTCAGTGCACTGAAATTCTAAGATCAAATCTGGGGTGCAGTTCCAGTCACAAAGGATCCACTGAATTCCATGAGACTTAATAGTTCGGGGGGGGGAGTGCTCAGTTCTATTTATTTTATTTCATTTTGAAAATTTCTATGCTGCCTCTCCAAGAAACTTGCCTGAGGTGGCTGACAAAATGGGGGAAAAACATAGAACATCATAAAATTTACTAAAACCTACCATTCAAAACACAGCAGAGATAAAACATGAAGCTGCTTAAAGTGGGTTTTAAAGATTCTCAAGCTTAAGAACAGACTATTCAGATTAAAAGCAGGTGGGTAAACTCCTGACACCTAAAAGAAAGTAGAATACAAAGCAGGTGGACCTCAAGGGAAAGGTAAGAACCAGTGTTTTGAATTGTGCTTAGAAACAATGGGTAGCCAGTGCAGATCTTTCAGTACTGATGTGATACATTTCCTGTATCCCACCCCTGACAATCTCCCTTATATATAAAAGCCGAATGGTGATGGGACTTCTCTAGAACATTCTACACGCTCCAGAATTGGTTGGTGCCCTGGTGTGTCACTCAGAATCTGTCCCTATCCACTGACTGCATTGCTTGAGTCTTGCCTCCACATTCTAAACAGTTTGCTGTTCCTCCCCCCCCCCATTGCCAGTCAGAACACAGAGGTTATTTGCATATGCAGCCTCATTGGCCTTTGCCTTGGAACACAGAGGTTGTTTGCATATGCGACTTTCCCCCCAAAGTTATATTTATTGATTTTCCAACAGACAAACAAAACAACAACAAAAACCGACATACATCAACCTACAACTCTAAATTCCATGTAGTAGCACATATATAGAATTATTTAACCACTTTCAATTACACTAAAAATCAGTGGTTTTTCTCTTTCCACTATCAATACTCTAATATGACCACAGTGTTATTTCCTTATTCTCATTTTCCATTTATACAAATATAAAAAGAAAGCAAGAATGCATTACAATCTCCATTTATATATCTTTAATTTTTTTGTAGGAGTCTGTGATTTTTTTTTTGCACAACCATTTCCAGATGTCTACTCTCTTTGTATGCTCTCATTTCAGTACTTCTCCCTTTAAATTTCCACTATCTCGTTTTTACATTCTTATTACCACTAACAATTTTCCACACAATACATCTTGTTCTCTTGTTCTTTTTTTATTCTATTTTTCGTTCGCTTGCTGAAGGGTTTTAAAGGATCCCTTTTTATCAGTCCTACTTTTGAGTAATAGAGTTTTTAAATTTCTTTTGTTTTTCGCTTATAAGAATTTTCCACATTTATCATAGACAAGGATGAAACGTCCAAATGCACATTCTCTTGTTCAGGGATCCTGTCCTCTACAATCTCTGCTTACTCCGCCAAAAGTATTCCTCCTCATTTTCCAAAGTTAAATGTACACTTTGTTTATTTTTTGTAAAGCTCCCAAAAGCTTCCACAATTCCCATTTGTATCCCTTCCATAAGTATTTTCCGGAATTGCTCTACAGTTAGTTCATCAATTTCCAAGTTTTCATTAATCTCCTCCTTGTTTTCCTCCCGAGACGCCATTTCTTTTAACTACACCTTCTCTTGCCTCCTCATTAATCAACTTAGAATATCCATTTCAATGTTCATTTGCACATATCTCTTATTCCATTCCAACACTTGCAAGTCCTTGTCAACAGTTCGATTTTTACCCCAACCATTTCCACCTTTTCTTTAATCTCCTCCTCCTCCTTGTTTTCCTCCCAAGATGCCATTTCTTTTAACTGCACCTTCTCTTGCCTCCTCATTAATCAACTTAAGATATCTATTTCAATGTCCATTTGCACATATCTCTTATTCCATTCCAACACTTACAAGTCCTTGTCAGCAATTCGATTTTTACCCCAACAAAACACATAGTCAAATCTTCCTCCTATTCAGTTTCTGGCTGCTCTTGCCTTCCATTTTGGGTGTAGACAATCTGGGGTATTCTTACTAAAAATATTATCATTTTTCCTCAAGTTGCAAATAATAATACACACTCACGTGGTCTTCCTTCTTTGTGCCACTGCATGATAAATCATTAGTCCAAACAGGTTAAAACAGATGGTCGCGGCTTGGTGAAGACATGAAATCATGCTTCACTCCATTCTTCACACCAGCTTCAGGGCAGTAATGGAAACCCTCCCCCCGCATTTGCCGTATGCGGGAGGGGCCAAAACAAAGCCCCCTGCCACCAGCCCTCGCTACGGGAGGTCCAGTGAAACCCCTCAAAAATCGGGAGGCTCCCAAAAAAATGAAAAAGGAATTGGCCGGTCCCGAGAGCTGCCCGTCGCCGTACCGGAACGGAGCTGCGTATGCGACTTGATTGGCTTTTGCCTCTAACATTCTAAACAGTTTGCTGTTCTAAGGTAAGAACATAAGAACATAAGAGACTCCAATGTTGGATCAGGCCAAAGGCCCATCCAGTCCAACACTCTGTGTCACACAGTGGCCAGAAATAC